ATAACCAGTGACTTTCTTAGAATTATGGCATTACTGAAGTATTTTTAGCAACACACATTATTATGGATTATAGAAAATTAATATCTCATCTGATGAACTACATATGGTTCATTGAAATATCCCATATCAAAGTATTTTTAAAAGAGGGATTTCTATTAGAGATCATGGGTTTGATGACTAAAATTAATGAGCTCCTTCAGAGTCTCTGCAGATATTTGTAAAAACAGATTCTTTTTTTACCCTCTGATATTTTGATGTATGAAAAGAGACTTCTTCATGCTTCCTGACCAAACTTATTATTTGCTTGTCAAGTTTACCTGATTTTTTTTGCCATCTAGTTGCAAGACAATATGAACTGGTAGCAGATGAGAACCTCAGTTGCCTCCAATGAATAAGCATTGAGAAGGAAACCATATGTCAACTAGATTTTTATTATAACTTGATAAGTTTCACTCCAGGTTTGAAAGAAGCTTTTTTAATGACAGAACTGGATTTTAAAAGCTTTTGAAAAAGAGTGACATCAAGAAAAGAATAGGCTTTGCAAATAGAAAAGTCTACATGTGGAGACTTAGGATGGTTTGTCAGTGGTAATATAGTCTAGCTGGCTGAAATGTAAACTTCCTTACTGAACTGGATACAATTTGTAAATTTTGTATAGCTGGATCTAAACTTTTTGCTGGAGTTGTTTTAAAATGTGTCTTCATAAACACTTCCCATGGAGATACTCTTTATAAAAATAAACATTAATAACTAACTGACAGAGAATTTATAGAACTGCAGTCTCAACTGCGTTTAGGCCCCAGGGGATTACAGTTCAGTAAACCCAAATTTATACAAAGAATGAAATATAAAGTAGAACAGAACAAAGGGAATGGAGAATGGTTCTTACTGTTTTTCTAAAATAAAAATAGTGACATATTCCTATTACTTTCACTGAAGCATATGCGTGAACTGTAAACACCGATGTTTGATTTTGAATCCCTGAGTGATCTAACTGTATCTATTTCTTATGAAAAATGCCTGATTATGGGCAGAATGTATATATACAGGATAACTTTAGTGTAGGTAGAGTGGTGTTTCCTAAATTGCCTGTCAAGAATGACTTAATCCTACTTTGCAGGAATTGCCTACATCAGTGAGACACATTCATTTCCATACCCATTCATTTAGGAGACTCTCTGCTGAGAATATCAAAGAGATGCTAATTGTTATCAGCTATGGTGATCCCTTAGGAATTAGGCTGAGATTGAGAAACCACGTAATTACTGAAGTTACACTATAGTCAAGGATTAAAGTGATGAGTTCTGCTGCTTTTCTTTTTTTTTTTTTTCTTTCGTGGCTTGGGGAGCAGCTGTCACAGGCAGTCCTGGTGTTCTTTAGGTGATTGTTTTGTGACCATTTTGTCCTCTTTCAGTCTAGTTTCTCTGCTAGTGATGCTGTGCAAGGGCAGAAGCAGAAGAAGCAGTAATTGTATGTGCAGCCTGGTGGTTTGTCAAAGAAACCATCCTGGCATTTTTCTGTATTAGAGTAAAGGCGTCTTCTGTTTCCAGGTGCCCAACATTATGGGACAGTGTTGATTTAGTTTCCTCCTCTTTCAAACCAGTGAAAGCTATTTTTAGTTTATTATTTAGATTATTATCTAAAATATGCTCTCTTATTTGAAAATTCCCTCTACCCACCAAATAATATCACTCTTAAAAACAAACAAGAAAAAATACATCAAGATTTATTGTTCTTAGCACAAATATTCTTGGAGTGCTTGAACTACGGTTCCCTTTCTTGCACTCCTATTAATCTTGTTTCTTGCTGTTATTTACCTGCAGAAGGTATGTTATATATTTGGAACATTTCCTTTTCTTGATCAGCAATTGTTGTTTTAGGTGGTTTAAGTAACTGGCTTTCATCAAACAGTACCCTTGTCTGTATTTAACGATACCTTTCTTCTCAAAGGTATAACAATCATTCATATTGTATTACATCATATCAACGTAAGAAATTTAATTTCATGAGAAGTCAAGGAACTTTACTCGCTTAAAATGGTTGTGAAGTTTAGACAGAAAAGATTTTCAGAATAAAAAACTAGGTTTATGTTCAAGACTGTCTCTCATTTTTCCAAATGATTTTGTGTCAAGCAATGACTAATATTTTGCTGAAACTTTCTTTGGTTTTTAGTCAAGTACTATAAATGAATTCATTAATGGGAATTATTTTGGGGCAACAGTAGTGGGTGTGTGTTTAAAGTCTTATGGTGATGCATGCTGCTGTGAGCTTCAAGTGTATGCCATCTTTTCATCAGCAGTTCTAACCTAAGAGGTAGTCTGGCTTAAAAACAACAAACAAACAAAACAAAAAGACCCAAGCCAATGGTGGTCAATGATTATCTATGAGCTAGTTTACTACTATTCATAAGACTGCTTTCTAGGCTGTCTCAATTCAAAGCTTTCTTCTTGGTATTATTAAAAGAAACATTCTCACGATAGGAATTGTCAACTTTATTGCAGAGGCTTACTTTTAGATCAATATTTTTTATTCTGCTTGGGTTTAATAGGTCATAAGAGCAAAATTTGTTTTCATGGGGAAGATTAGATTGAGATGTTTAATAGAAAACTGAGACACTTTCCCAGCCTGAAGTTAGCACAAATGCAGTATGCTGCAAAGATGAACACGTGTCTTCCATTTTTCTCACTCGAGCACCAGTGGGACTGTTGTAGAAGACAAACAGTATTAGTGTCTAACCAGTAAACAATGCTGAGCATGAGGATGCTCAGCATCGTTGCATATTACACAAGTAAAAGCACAGGGACATTATTTATTTAACATCAGCATCATGTAGGCTTTTTATATGTAGCTAACCTCTGGATCTACTTTTTGGCAAAAGCAGAGAGTGTGGGAGGAGAATAGCAACAAGGAAGAATAAGGCCTATGATAGTAAAATTAATCAAGTTTGTTTAGTTCTTGACGGTAAACTGTTTTATGTGTATTAATTAAGAAGGGGGCGACTTTAGGAAGTGATGTTCAAATATAGAATTAGTGTAAATATTAAATAAATATACTACACTGAACATGCTGCCGGTAAATAGTAACTAACAATCATGAACATATTTTCAACTTTTAGCCCTGGAAAAGTATGCATAGATAGTTAAAGTTTAGTGTGGAGAATTAGGCTGTAATTTAACACTTTTCAGCATTTATTATAGGCAATGTATCTTGTCTGTACTGGACTTTGAAACTTGTTAATTAGCTTGTGCCTTGGAAATATGTAAGGTAATACCTGTTGTCACCCTACCAAGATCTGGAACCTGTGATGTAGTGTAGTGCACGCTGGTAAAAGCTAAGAGGTTCTGATCATTAAGCGTATGCTTCATTGTAAGCAGTTGTTGCACTGGCTCTAGGGAGCCTCTATTTACATGTTTAATTTAGCAGTGTTCTTAGTCAGAAACACATTTTTTTGAGTAAGAGTGAAAATGTTACTTGTGGGTTGCACATTTTCGTGCTGTTTCATTTTCAGTAGGTGTGGATAACACCTGTGAAAGGAATGAAGAAATAGGACCCATTATTTACTTTCTGTGAAAACCTTTGGTATTAAATCTCAAATTATGGTGTCTTTCATCCTTGTGAAGATTAAACCTTCCTAAAACACACAGAAAGTAGTAATCAGGGAATTTACCATAATAGCACCAACCTCAGTCACCACATTATTATTTAATATATTTCAGTTGAAATGTGTGCTGTTCTGGATATCATTATCTTGAAAATTCAAAGTAATTAAAGATTTTATTTTTCAAGCAGGCATACCAAATAAAGCATGGATGTTGGTAGCTGGAATGAAAATGTCTACGTATCTTCTGAGTGCATTAATAGCAAGGGAAGGGAGGGTTTTAGCTTAAGGAAGGATTCGGTTGTCTTGACATCTGAGCTTCAGGTAGGTAACTGTCAAAGCAGAGAGGGGATTGTTTTTTAAGTGTAGATAATGCATCTTTTGTGAGTTTACATGATAATTTAAATGTGAAACAGGTATGAAATTGCAGTTTCTGCGGTAATGATGGAAATTAAAATCATAGGTAAATGAACCTGGACAAAGCCTACTTTAACATTCAACAGGGGGGCAGGGGAAACCTAGACGGGTTATCCAGTTTTGGGTTGTGAAGTGTTAGGAATTATCCCTCTTTTCCTTTCAGACTGCAGCTACTCTTTGTCACTTAGAGAGGTTTATTCTGAACCAGGGCCACCTGTTCCACGCGTAGAGCAGCAAGATAGTGTTACCACTTTTTGTGCGTAGGTTTACTCCCGATGGATGATTTCTTGCCTCACTGAACAGACATCAGGCTGTTCATCCGGTCTTCCCGCCCATTGTCTTCAGGGAGTCTCCAGCAAAACTTGTAAGGGTTTGTTGCGTGGAGCTCCTTGGTAGCAGAATGACTAGTACCTTACAAAGTACAGTGCTTGATCACAGCAATAAGCATCCCTCAGGGGTTTATCCTAATGAATATTGAAAATTGTTTAATTCTTTTTTGTTCTGGATGTATATTGCAGTCCATACTGCAGACTAAGAGTCTGAACAAAGCCACACAAGTAAGCAGAACACTCAAGCTCCTTTCCCTGTGCCACGTACACACCTTCCTCAATTACTCTGTAGATGACAAGGACTAACTTCAGGTCAATGAAACTGCTATTCAGACTACCACTCTAGTTACTGTAGAGTCTACAAGGAGGAAGGAGGAGACCATCAGTATATTTCTGGTTTATCACTGCCCATCTTTCTCTCCACTGACCACAAAAAGATGTCAAGGGAAGCTTATCTTTTTAGCTTAAATTTGGTCTTTTTGAATTTCCATTTGTTATCTGTTTGTTTTGACACAAACTGCCATCAAATCTGAGCACATCTTAGCAGTACACAGATTCCAATCAATTTTTTTTTTTTTCCAATCAAAAAAATATTTTAAGAATTGTCTTGTAATACTTCAAGTTCTTTTCCACTTGGGTCTTTTTCCTTTTGGCAGCACCAGAAAGAACGGATTCCATTCTGGGTAGCCCAGATGTCATTGATACTGCTCCAAGAAGAAAGCGAAGACAAAGGACAGCAAAACCTGCTGGGACAGGAGCTAAGACGGCTACTTATGAGACAGAACTGCCAGCCAAGGAAAAGTAAGCAGTTTTCAAATGTATTGAAATGTTTTTATATCAACAGATGCTGGTGGGTTTGTGGTTTGGGGGTTTTTGTGTTTTCTCATGTAGTTTCATATTTCAGACTGAATACTGTTGTGTTGCATTCTGTATAGTCATTTACAGTAATTTTAACCAACTTGGAATAGATGCAAATGATTAAATTGTCAGGCCCAATGACTGATAGGTTTTAATACATCTCTAAAGTGATAACTGTAAAATTCTTTTCTTTAATTGACTTGGATAACTTTAAGCAAATAGATTGAAGCCTACTAAAATTATGTTCTGCGGGTTACCATATAACTTGCAGGCAAGGAAGGATGCATTCATAGCAAGTGTCAAACTAAGATGGTCAGCTTCAGCTAAGTTGTGTCACAGAAAGTGACACATTACGAGTGTCTTTTTTCATGGTGAGGGTGGTCAAACACAGGAAGAGGTTGCTCAGAGAGGTTGTGGAGACTCCATTTGTGGAAATACTCAAAACCTGACTGGCATGGTCCTGGACAGTCTGCTGCAGTTGAGGAGGGAGGTTGGGCTAGGCAATCTCCATGGGTCCCTTCCCACCTCACCATCTTGTGTTTCTGTCTTTGTAATTTTAGTGGAAATTAATTCACGATACCATTTTTTATAGACAAGAATAGGTTTCTTTTGAAAGTAAGATCAGTGGGGAGGAAAAAGAATTCACTCTTAAACACAAGGGGGTCAGAATTTATAACACTTCATAAAAGTCTTTTTCTTCTTGTGTCAATCTCAACTTTTGTAAATATTTTCACATGATCTGGGAGTTGCTTAGTTATGCATAGAATTAATTCGGATTGGCAATATGATTGGTGGTATTTTCTTCAAAAACTGATCTGTTTTTAAGATCCATGGTAAGTTAGTTTTGCAAATACTTATTTTCCCTTTTTATCTGTAATATCCAATGAATAACAAACTGTTTAAACAGACATTGACACAAGTAGACTACAAAGACATTTCCCATGGTTAGCAAAGATGTCTGTTTAAATCAGCAAGAGGATTATCTTATTTTGACATAGAAGGTTGTGGCTTGATGGCAGCTAGGAATGTTTAAACTTACAATCCTGTTTTATTAGTAAAAATATAAATACATTTTTTTAGAATAGTCTAGAAAAATGTAATCTTCTCTTCTGTTCTTTTAGGGTCTATTATATTACAATGATCAATGCCCTTTCCCCATTGTATGTAGTCAGTTCGATTTTGGTAGTCTGGCTGTGTTTGCCTGAAATACAATTTCACTCTTTTTAGTATTGATTGTGGAAGGAAAACCTGCAGAGGCAAATGATTGCAAAGGAGAATATAGAGGCCTTGGGCTAAGTAATCCTCAGTGTGTGGATGTCTGAGTCCTGTGTGTAGGGGAAGAGCTAAGAGGATATTGATATTTTTCTTTTAATTCCTTTAAGGTAAATTTTCAGAAAAAAGAGCAACATTATGTTTTTCATACTGTACAAAGCATTTCTAGTATGTTTGCAGAATCAAGTCAGAGCTGAATCTGAAGAGTGGGTCTTCTTGGCTATAACATAATTCATCATATTTTAAAGCTTACCATATGGAACATCCATTAGTCTCTATCCCCGTTTTTCCTTTTGCATTAAGTATGTATAAATTGTATTGTAAATAACAACTTTGCACTACAGGTTGCAATATTGCTTGGCGTGTGACATGCCTTCCAGTACTGTGAAGATGTGTCTAACAATGAGAGAGACATGTTTCTCTATGATCTCATGGTGACTTCAGAAATCAAATGTGATATTGCTTGGTGCTGGAATAGGTTTTTTAATCCTTTTCTTAGTTAAAAATACAGTGGCAGTGCTTTCTTTCATTAGATAAGAAGATATTAGATCTCCCTATTTGCATGGAACAAAAGCTGAACTGTAATAATTTCCATTTTGCTGATAATTTTTCTCAGTGTCCCTGCTTAGTTCTTGGATTTTGAACTTCATCTTGAGTCTTTTGCCAGCTGCTAATCAACCTTTCAGTCAATTTGCTTGGCTAATAATTTTCACTTCTCTTCAGCCTGTCAAAAGTAGAATTAGTATCATAATCCAGTTCACAAATATAGATGTTTCTTTTTATGAAGCCTCTTCAGTAATTTGTACTGATGACAGACTCGATCCTACACGGGGCAAAAGGCTTTATCTTAAGCTGATGGTACATTGGGGTCCTGCCCAAAATGTTTTCCAGCATTGTGTCACTTAGCAAGAAATTACTAATCCAAGCAAACCAGCCTGCTGTGGCGGCAGGGAGGCAAGGAGGCAGTTAACCTCTAAATTCCTTCACCTTTGGAAATGCTCCATCACAAATATGGAAGATGTACAGCCCTTGAAAGTCTGTTGTGCTTTTCTGTTGGGCAGGAGGCTGAAATGACAGATTGTGGTCAAATTTGCAAATGCACAAATGAATCCTTATTGCACAAACCTGCAGAAATATTTGATACTTTACTCCTAATGTAAATACTTTAAGGTGCTATCATATAAAATTGCATCCCACAGTTCTTGCTTTAACAAACTAAAGCTTGTTTGGAATTATTTACCATTTACAAGTTTTGCTGACATGACCAGTGCTTGTTTCCTGTTTGCCAGACAATGAAAGGGCAGTTACAAACCAAACATCAAGAGCATAATGGGGTCTTTATATTATTGCATCATAAGTCAATTGATACAAGATCCTAATCAGAAGAAAAAATACTTCTTTACTGAAAGAGAGCATCCAAGTTTTTCCTTTCTTTTTGGCTTTGGGATTGTTTTTTGAAAATACAGTGTTTTTCAACACAGTCATTGTTATCACATAATAGGAATTATATTTTAACCTTTATGCATTTCTCCCAAGATTTTAAAGTATGGTAAGAAAGTACTGTTTATGCTTCAAGTTAAGAGCATCTAAAGTAAACACTGAGTCATAAAAAATGAAAGGATTCTATTTCCGCAAATATTTTAGATTTATGGATGTTGAGACTAGTTATGTAGTAATTCTCTAGTTCTTTGGAATGAAAATATATTCTTAGATATGACCAAGAATACTGAGAAGAATGCAAATAAAAATATGTTTAACATAGAAATTAGAGCAAAAGAAGTACTGCCTTTCTCATGCTTTGTGTGTGGGTGCAGTGGCAGGAGAGGGAGTTGAATTGTATTTATCTATAGATACTAGACATCTAGTATCACTGTGACATTCAAGGACTAGCTTATTTTTTTTAATGAAACTTGGAAATGTACTTTTGGATAATACTTAGTGAAATTAGTAAAGACTAATGATCAGCGAAGAACTGAAATAGGATTTGTGGAACAAGGTTTGCTAAATGAACTGTAATTACTTGCTGAGATAAAGATGTTCATTAGGATAACATAAAAACTCAGAATAATTAGTTGGTCAGTGAACTGCCAAGATTCAGGTTTATCCAGCTCTCTAGCAGGTTGGTTTTGAAATCTGAGATATCTAATAAAAGGAAATGCTTAAACAGACAGATGTTACTTATAGTTGATAACAGTCAAACTATTGATAGCAATTTACACATTTTTAAAATATGACAGAGGACAGTTCTTACAGTTGAAAACATGATTCAGTCAGGAAGTAAAATAAAATTATTCTGATTGCAGCAAACTGTGATGGTATTGGTGAAGCTTTAACTGTAACTTAATATCTGGCAATTTCCTAAGGTGCAAAGCAGAGATAATACGTAATTCGCATTAAGATGCAAATTCTACTTTTCACAATTTGCATTTCATACTTGGAGAGAAAAATTAATAAAAGCAATCCCAATCCACAGTTAGAAATTATGCTTATTGATGCATTACCCAAATCTCTCAAGGGACTGCATTTGAATAACACTATTAGCTATGTAGAATATGCATTCAATATAGAGGCTTAAGCGTAGGGCTTGTCAGCCTGAATCCTATAAATAATTGGATGTTTCTATAATAATTTCACTTTAAATGTATTGGAACCTGTTTGAGAGAAGATAGTACCTACTGAAGATAGCAATTTTCTTAATATATAATGTTATAAATTAGGCATAGTCATTGAATATAGAATACTTTGTGTAGCTTGTACGATCTGTAGCCACAGAGTACAGTGGAACCCAACCAATGCTGCAGTCTCTACAACTAAAACAAAAGTAAATCATGAAAAAGCTTCCTTTTCTGGTATGGTTTACAACTATTAATTTGTTTCCACAAGTAAAAAACTGTCTTTCTGCTTTGGTTTATCAATACTGTTTTTATTTAGAGGGGTAAGAAAAGCAAAACCTTTTTTCTGTCTGTCTGTTATTTCCTACTAATAAAGAATCTAGCTTTATGGTCCTCATTCACACATGGGTTTCCTAGGAGGAAGACTTTACAGGATAAGACTTAAAATTTCTTTAAGTTATCCTGTATGTTGCAAAATGTACCCATTGCAGCTGCTGTATAGAGTTTATAATTTCTTTGCTATTGAATGTGCACATACTGTTGACGATATGTACAATTACAGAAGTGGTTTGGGGGAAAGCATCTTAAATACAGGAAAAACCTTGTTTTGGATGCAAATATGATGGATTCTCCTGAGAAGAAGAGTAGAAACAACCAAAAAATGTTGTCAAAGAGAAAATGCTTCATAATTCTGAGAAGCAAGTGTTAAGAAATACCTTTAATTCAATTGACTGAGAAATAACAGGTATTACTCGCTTACTTTTTCTATAAAGAAATATGTGTTTACACCAAGCACTGTGACTCTGATTTACTACTTACTCTGCAGGCCAAAAATTCAATTTCATATGTGTAACTCTCGTTTTGTACATTTGATGTAGCTGTTACTGTCTTTTTTTCTTTTTTAAATGAGATTTGATTTTTGCTGGCTTGATACTTGTTCCTTCATTGATAAAACTGATTGACTGTCAGAATCAGGCCTACATTAAAATTGAAGGAAAGAGATGCTTTCCCTTACCTCCAGTACGTTTGGTTTTGATGAAATACTGAGATGCAGTCATAGCCC